ATCTGTATTTCAAGAACATATTTGAAAATTCAGCTCATACTCCTGGTCACTGCAGCCATGTTTCTGTAATGGCCCCCACTAGATCATACCCATTGTGCCTTTAGACTGTCTGTTGCGAATGACGTGCATTCAGGTAGACAGCCCTTAACTATCGTTTTGACACCATTCTGCTTTCAAAACATACTCAACGCTTCTCCTTTGTTTCTTCCTTAGAAACCCCCTTGCATCTTTTTGACTTCTTTGTTATTAATTTTACTTCTTTTCAATTTGGGTTACCCCTCAGGTTCTCACCCCTCTAACAAGTTAGTTGCCTTTTTTTTTAATCCCATGAGTTTCAATTTTGCTCAAATACTTCCAAATTTGTTTTCCAGAAATTAGGGTATTAACTTATGAGAGGAGTTCTTAAATGCTATGCAGCTGCTATTCATCATTACAAACACAAAACCCAAATTTCTTCTGAAATATTGGCTCCATTCATCCTTGCCAGTATTTAGCATGAAGGACTGGGTGAGTCTTACCATTCTTCTGATATGCAATAGAAACTAATTTTGGATCAGATTAATTTCATAAATGCTAGTCAAGCACAGCAAATCTGAAATTAATGAAGCAAACACAATACAGGTTGCCTTTATATAGTTTTAATTGCACACCAAACCACTTACCTCCAAACCTCCATCTGTCCAAAATTTAGTAACCTGCCTGGATACTTTCTCCTCCGGTGTTTTGATGTCAAAAAGTGTATTATTGTTTGGTAAACATCTTGGGACACTTTGACATGATAGGTGCAGCATAATAAACAAGAAATTAACAGTTCTGAACATCTGGTGAGGTCTCGGTACACCACAAACTATGTGCACAAAACCATATGGCTCATTGTATTGAATGACAGAACAGGTTCAATCACAATGACTAAGCTTTATCCTCATTTTGAAATAATGCCCATATCACTTGGCTCCTGAAAATCTGTCTCAACCAGCATTAAATGCATGCTATAGTGGAGAATCCCCAAATGTCTGCAGCAGAGAATTTTAAAGGTTCACTATTCTGAGAGAAGGAACTTCTCGTCTCAGTCCTAAATGCCTGATCTCTTATTCTGAGACAGTCCCTCAATTCTAGATTCCAAAGCCAGGGGA